ATTGGAGATACTGGAAATCTGAAATAAAAGCAGAAAATACTAGAGAAACTCAGCACGTCTGGCAGCATCTATGGAGAGAATTCTGAAAAACAGTCTTTGGACTCCAAATTTAACTCTGTTCCTTTCTTCACAAATACTGCCAGATTTGCTGAGTTCCTCCAGTATTTTTTAAATATATTTTAATAAAGGATAAAATACTTGAGTGGACTTAGATATATTGAATGGGCTTTTATGAATGAGAATAATTTTCTTATGTAGTGAAGTCTGTATTAGGTATTTAGAAGTTTACTTCACCTCGTCTGGTTCCTGAGCTCTGCTGATGGTGGAAACTGAGTAAGTTTACTTCAACAGTGTAAGGGCAAAAGACAGTAGCTCAGGACTGTGGGTTGGCTTGACTTTGCTGTGCGTTGGCAGAGGGCCATGGGGATGAGTGTGGGTCATGAATTGGCACTAAGTTGGCATAAAGGTAATATGGGGCCATGGCAATGAATAGAAGGTGTGGGTTAGCATTCAGGGTGTGAATGACCCGTGGCAATTGATATGGGGAAAAGCTTGGCAACCAGGGTTTGGGTACCATGTGGTGTGAGTGTTTTGTGTTGGTGTGAATGGTCTCTTGATTGGGTGCGGTGATTGAGGATTGGAGAGCCTAATATTGAAGCATAGAAAAAAGATGCAGGAATAAGCCATTTGGCCATTTGAGCCTGCTCTGCCATTTTATATGATCATGGTTGATCATCCAACTCAGTACCTTTGATCCTTTTTGCCCTAAGAACATCTAACTCCTTCCTGAAAGCTTTCAGTATTTGGCCTCAACTGCTTTCTGTGGCAGAGCATTCCACAGGCTGATCACTCTTTGGGTGAAGAAACTTTTCTTCATCTCAGCCCTAAATGGCCTGTTCCTTATCCTAACCTGTGGCCCCTGGTTTTGGACTCACCAGGCATCGGGAATATCCTTCCTGCGTTCACCCTGTCTAGTCCACTTAGAAATTTATAGGTTTCTATGAGACATCCTGCCCCCGCTCTCCCCCCCACTTCCTCTAAACTCCAGTAGATATAGTCCTAACTGATCCAGTCTCTCCTCATATGTCAGTCTAGCCATCCCTGGAATCTGTCTAATAAATCTTTGTTGAACTCCCTCCATTGCCAGATAGCCTTTCCTCAGTTAAGGAGACATAAACTGCACACAATACTCCAGGTGTGATTTCACCAAGGCCCTGTACAATTGTAGCAGGACATGCCTGATGCTGTGCTCAAATCCTATCACTATGAAGGCCAACATATGATTTGCTTTTTTCATTGCCAGCTCCACCTGCATGCTTACTTCTGGTGACTGGTGTGTACAAGGACATCCACGTCCTGTTTCACCTCTCCATTTCCCAATTTATTGAAGGTCAATTAATAATCTGCCTTCCTGTTTTTGGTACGAAGGTGGATAACCTCACATTTATCCACATTATCCTTCATCTGCCATGCACTTGCCCAATTGCTCAATTTCTTCAAATCACGTTGAAGCACCTTTACATCCTCTTCGTAGTTCACCCTCCCATCCAACTTTGTCCTACCTACAAACTTGGAGATTTTACATTTAGTTCTCTTATCTAAATCATTAATATATATTGTGAATAACTGGAGTCCAAGCACTAATTGCTGCAGTCCCTGCCTACCACTCAGAAAAAGACCTGTTTGTTCCTAGTCCTTGTTCCCTGTCTGCCAACCACTTCTCTATCCGTGTCAGTATGCTACTCCAATCCCGTGCTACTTAATTTAACGTGGTAGTCACTTATGATAGATCTTATCTAAAGGTTTATTGCAAAGTTCACGTCAACCGCTTGGATAATTTCATTGTCCAGCACCAAGAGCAGCTCAGCAGCTGCATTACCAATCGAGCTGTTCAAGGACGATTGGACATTGCTGTTAGACTGTGTCTGTGGCAGGTCATGAGGGAAACAACAAGAGGGAAAAACATACTTGACCTCGTCCTTATCCATCTGCCTGATGCAAATGCATTTGTCCAAAACAGTATCAATAAGTGTGACCACCACACACTGCTTATGGAGACTAAGTTCCACCTTCACGTTGAGAATAAACTTAATCATGTTGTGTGGCACTATTACTGAATGGATTGGACTTGAAACAGATCTAGCAACTCATTTATGAAGTGCTATGGAACATCAGCAGCAGCAGAATTATAATCAAACACAATCTGCAAGCTAATGATCTGGCATATTCTCCACTGCATCATTACCATCAAGCAAGGGGATCAACCCTGGTTCAATGAAAAGTACAGAAGGGCATACCAGGCATGCTCCCTAAAAATGAGGTGTCAGCTTTGATGTAGCTACAAAACAAGACAACTTGAATGGTATATCTTTTGACTGTATAAGGGAGAACGCACATATTTCTCACTCGGAAAAAAGCTTGCAAATTTTTTCTTTACTTGTTAAGATGTGTTAGTAGAAACATGGAAGTAAATCTTGGAAGAGTTAGGCCAGGGTGATTATGATAGTAAAAAGTGCTGGAAAAGCTCAGCAGGTCTGGTAGAGTCTGTGAAGAGAAAACAGAATTGATGTTTTGACTCCAATGATTCCTCTTTGGAACTGAGAATCATTTGACTCAAAACATTAACTCAGTTTCTGTCTCCACAGATAATCCTGGATCTGCTGAGTTCCTCCTGAAGTAAAACCAGAAACTGCTGATCTCCAGCATCCACATTGTTTTCATTTTATTTGAGTGATTCTGACAGTATTATGATAGCTTCAGAAATCTTCACATTTCAGTATACTCATGAGAAGAAATGTTTTCTGTTTGCGGCCTTAAAAAAATATATTCCCCAGAAACAAGAATTGCTTATAATAGTGTACTCATGGCCTGTCTGAATTTTACATCAAAAGAATGAAGCAGTCTTGGATCTCAGAGGTGAAATTCTCAGGCTTGAAAAAAAAATGTATAAGAAATGCTATTCTTACATTGGCAGGTCAGTACTTCTAATGATGACTGAACAACCGAAGCCTTAATCTGGCTCCTTTTTTTTTCAGATATAAATGTTCTGTCTATTTCCAGCATTCTCTGTTTTGCTTAATTCTTCCAGCATTTGCCTTTTTTGATTATAACAAGCCGTTGATTCCCAAGACGATGCCACACAGGCTTTTCAAATGGTCTTGAGGTTTGTGTAATGGCAATGTAATTATTTTCAGATATTATGGTATAGCATCATACGTTTAGCTTCCTCTCTAAAGATAAAATTGGCAGTTGTATTTGGACTCCATTGCAAAGGACTCTGTACACCTGGGAGAGGATTCATCTGTGCTTATAAATCAAAAGTTGAGCATGGACCAAATGCTTTGGAGAAAAAATGTAAATTGCAAAAGATTTAATTTAAACCGACTCAAAGCATGAATATTTTTGGAATCTTCTGCCATGTTGTCCGTCAGCCAATTGTTTGTAATCAAGTGAATATGTGCAATACCCATTAACTGTTAATGCCTAACATGCCTACCTCAAGCAAGCCTAAAATGAATTTAGAAGCAACTTGCAAATAATGAGGTATTCCATACTAACACAATTTTGTTCTTTTATCTTTGACAAAGCTCACAAGTATAAACAATTTCCCACAACTATAAAGTAGAAATTCTTCCAGAGTTGCTAGCAAATTCACCCTTGGATGAATCAAATAAATCTTCTTCAGAAATGTTTGACTATAATGGAAACATCTAAGGACCAGGATTCACCTGCCTGTGACCTCATGGATAAATTCTCTCAAGGTTTGCTGGAACAACATCAGATCACTGTAAATATATACAACTAGCCCTTAACCTGTTGCAAATCTTAAGGCACCTCTTGGCGGATAAGCTAGGAATTTGGCGTGTTTTGCTGCATACAGGAATGTCTGTAAGAGATTCAGTATCCCCAGCTAACCCAGCAAAATTGATCACTTGGCCTTACTTCAGTATTATTTTGTTTCATTTAACAGAGGCAATTTTGTCTTTGAGTGATAGAGTAAAATGGTAAATATCAGAACAGGTGAACTTTACATATATATCAATTTCATTTGTATATTGGAGAATGGGTATGGTTATTGAACTTTTTAACTAAGGTGAGTAAATTTTGATGTAACTGTTAGGTCTTGTTTTGCTGAATATGTGTTTCTGTGCACCCATCTTCTACTTATGTGTGTCGCCACGCAGTCTCTTTCCCAGAAACAAGATAGAATTATCTACAATGAAGCCCAGAAACTCGCAGGAAAGAGTTTCCAGGTTCCAGCTTAATTTTTGGCCACTTGAATATGTACCCAGTAAATTTACAGCAGACGTACTGAAAGGTTTGCTATTTTTCAGTCATATAGTGATGCAGCAAGGTGATTTGTTACATTTTCTAGTCTGAATACTTTATTATGTTCATTGTAAATGTTTTTAAGTATAAATTCACTGGGGAAAAGTTTTAGATGGAAAAGTGACAATCGGTTTCTCCAGAATTGTTTTAAAAATAACATTATGTTAGCAATCTGGAGTTAGCAAGAACTGCAGATGCTGGAGTCAGAGTCAATACAGTGTAGTGCTGGAGGAACACACCATGAGAGGAGCAGGAAAGTTGACATTTTGGGTTCATCAAATGAAGGGTGCAAACCCTAAATGTCGACTTTCCTGCTCCTTTGATGCTGCCTGACCTGCTATGTTCCGCCAGCCCCACACTGTATTGAGTTATGTTGGCAACCTGGTGCTTAGGGTGGGTTAGATTCTCATCTGAAGAATCCTGAGTAAGATAGGCTTGTCACCTACCCTGTTCATCACAGAAATGTCACAAAAGGTGATCTAAAAGACTTAATTCATGTTTATAAAAATATTATCTGCCACGCTGGGACAACTTGGTGGATATTCACCCATGTAACCTTCAAAGAGTATTTCTGAATCACTCTTGAGAATGGAATTTGCCTAAATGTATAATTGCATAGTTGATAAAATGAGGTTAGAAATATTAACAAGTTTGTATCTATTTGGTATTAGACAACAAACATCACGGTTGGCTACCCCATCTTCCATAAGGGAATGTGTTTCAAGTAAGTCTTTCTTTAAACTTTTTTAGAGAAGTACAACAAAAACTGTTGTGGTTACTCAGAAAATATAGGCCATAATTTGTGTCCACTGATTATGAAAGCAAAAGATATAACACATAAGATTAATAAACAAATAAAATGGAAACTTGCACTTGTGCAGCACTTATTGTAGTACTATTGTAGCAAAATATTAATAAATGTCATGATTTGTGAAATCGTATTTTTAATATCTGCTTTTCAAATGAAAATAATAAAGTACTTCAGCAGTACATATTCAATAAATGACAGCAGCAGTGTTATGAAAGCTCACAGGTGGTTTAGTAACTAAATTTTGGCTACAGCAGTAATATGAAACTTGTGTTTAATGCAGTAAATTTACATATTTATTATGTTTCCTCCTTGCTACACTTAACGTAGCATGAAAACTAGGGCTGAAATTTCAACTGCTGGGTGGTACTGTGCAGCAATCCAGCTGTGTTCCTGCACAGAATCACCAGAGGCTAGAACATACCACAAAAATGCCAGTCTTGAACTTGTTTATTTCCAAATAATATCTGGCTTAGAGTGAAATAATCTCAAACTAATCCTTTCACCAGTGCACAAATTTAAAAACAAAATGAAGCAAAAATTTGCTCCCCTTTAGCAAAAAGCTGCCATAATAGAAAAAAAGCAAGAGTAACTTTCAACTTTGATTTGGGCATCAAATTTGAACTTGTCAGTTAAGAACTTGTATTACACATCAAAAATTGTGTTGACTTGATAAGGCCTGTCTTTCATCTGTATCAAAGCACTTTTCGCTCCAAAGTTTCAGCAAACGTAGTGAAAGATTACCCTGTAGGTGTGGCGAGAATAATGGTAAGTATAGTAACAGAACAGTGAGAATGAAATAAAATAAAACAAACCATACGTGTTTCTCCTCAAACCTTAAATGTGTACTTCAAAATCTCATCTTTGAGTGGCAATTAACTTATTTCCATGTGTTTGCATATTATTAATACCCCAAATTGTCATATTTGGACTTCAATACTAAACCAGATGGTGCAAAAACCTGACCCATAAGACAGACTGCAGCTCACCGAATGCCTGTCCTGGCCATCATGCTTCTTCTGCACAACTTTGCTGCGTGGTCTGGAGCCACCATCCCCCTGAACTGTCCAGCTACATAACTCTGCATCGGCAAGCCACCAGTCTCACCATATCATCATGTCTGCTCTTGGACCAGCCTCTATGTGGATGACATTGGGTTCTTCGTGCAAAAGACGAAGGGAAGCAGTCCTTAGTCAGGTGAAGCGGGGCTATGGTCAGTCATCGGGTGCCGCCAGAGATACAGTAGATACACAACGGTGTTAAGGTGAGGAAGGAGGCCATTCAACCGAACGTATCTGCATCTGAGCATCATGACTTAGTGCCAATGTCGTGCCTTTTCCCTGAAAGAATGCACATTGTGTCTACTTAAAAAATCGTCTAGTGCCCTCTTGAATGCTTCAATTGAACTTGCTTCCACCCCATTTCTCAGCAGTCCAAACTATAACTACTACTACTAAGTTTTATTTTGGCATCATATTTGGCTTTTTTGCAAAACTGTGTCCCCTAGTTCTTAATCCATTCATAAGTGGGAACAGTTTCTCCCTATCTGCTCTGTCCAAGCATCTTATTTCTCTTTGCCTTTGCTCTCCAAGAATAGCAGTCCCAACTTCTCCCACTTTTCCTCATAACTGTCTCATTCCTGGAACTTTTCTTGTGAACTTCTGCACTCCCTCCAATGCATTCACATCCTTCCTGTAGCATGATGCCCAGAATTGTGTACCATAATCCTGCTGAGGTCTCATCAGTGTAATATATAAGTTCATCATACCCTTCTGCTCTGGTACTCTATGCCCCTATTTATGATGCCTAGAATAGCATACGCTTTATTAACAGCTCTGTCTATCTGACTTGCCATCTTTAATGGTTTATGTACAACCAGGTCTCTCTGCTCCTGCACACCCTTTAGAATAATACTTCTTATTTTATGCTGTCTCTGAGTCTTCTTTCTACGAAAGTACATAGCGTCAAACCTCTCTATTGTAAAGACCACGTTTTTTTGGGCACTGTGGAGTAAAAATGAGAAAAGGTCTTCTTTAAGCCAAACTAAGAAGAAGATTGCAGTTTTTAAAATAAGTTATTGGGACACATTGAAAGTTTTATATACAACGTGCCTTATTGAATCTGTGAGGGAAAGGCGCAGACAACGTGGTACTGCATGTATGTGTTCAGTACAGTTCGGCCCAGAGATTTTAGATTGGCTTTTCAATTGGCACCAGTTGTTTTGGGCTCAGGAGAGCTGAATGCAGTAACAACCCCTTGATCGGTTCCTGGGCAGGTAGCGACAGTGTGTGTGGACAGTATAGCAAAAACATACAGCCTTTAAAGAGAAAGCATCCATCTCTCTCTCACTGTCTCTTCTGTGTGGAGAAGTAAAAGAAAAGCCCTCGTAGCTAGTCAATGACCCTCACCTTTCCTCTGTAAGCTGCTGCCTTTGCAAGTCCCTTGTGGAAAGTGGAAAGGGAAAACCACCTATACAGACCCTGCTAGGATGAATTCTCAAATGTGATTTGAGATTCAATGTACTCTCAATCTTGTGTTATCAACAAATAGTTGGAAGGAACTGACATTCATCAATATCTGCGGTCCAAATTGGTACTACCCAGCTGTGCTTCCCTGATTTTAATATTCATGTGCTGTCAGTCTTTGTGTGTCTATCTGAATGTGTGAATGCGTGTTTTTAAAGGGAGTAAAGTTCAAGTTCCCTTTATAATGTGGCAGTTGAGGCGATGACCTAGTGGTATTATCGCTGGACGTTAATCCAGAGACCCAGATAATGTTCTGGGGACCCAGGTTTGAATCCCGCCATGGCAGATGGTGGAATTTGAATTCAATAAATGTCTGGAATTAAGTGTCTAATGATGATCATGAATCCATTGTTAATTGTTGGAAAAACTCATCTGGTTCACTAATGTCTTTTAGCGAAGGAAACTGCCATCTTTACCTGATCTGACCTATATGTGACTCCAGACCCACAGCAATGTGGTTGACTCTTAACTGCCCTCTGGGCAATTAGGGATGGGCAATAATTGCTGCCTAGCTAGAGACACCCTCATCCTGTGAATGAATAAAAAAAATACCAACTAACTGGTGTCATATTGGATTTAATTGAAGGTTCATTCTTTTGGCAACCATGAACATTACAAGTTAGGACCTCAAGCAATTGTGACTGTTCTATACTTTGTATAAATTGGTCTCCAGTCATGTAAGATCCACAAAGCTACTTAAATACCAAATTAAATGTCTCACCTGACTTTGCCATTTCTACATCATTTCTCATGCCTGATGCTGAAACACAATGCTTTGGAGCTGGCACATTCTCACACCTAACTGTAAGTAGGTAATGACGTAGTTGTGATGTTCAAGGTTGGCTTTTATTGGGAGGGGCTGCTTTTGCATTGGATAAGTGCCTGAATTTAACCCTCCAAATTTTCATAAGTGTTTTGGAACTGCAACATATATCTGGATAAGGTAATGTAGCTTAGTGCTGTATGCCAAGGCATGACATTTGACTCTTTGCAAAGCCTCTATGTTACGCCGTGACAGGGCATAACACATTGCTTAATTTTGATTAAAATGAGGAGTATTTTTATGCTGTTGAATGTCCAGCATTGTCCACAGATATCCACTCATGCATCTGAGAAGAAACTGACATTTGGAGGATTCTTTGTTGCGTTGGTGAACAAGTGACCACAATGCCAAAGAAGGCATCAGTTACCTTGTCATCAGCAAACCCATCCAGAGTATAAACCTGCAGCTGGCCTGCCACATTGCACCCAGACGGACAACCAGCAGGTGGAGATCCCCCAAGGAAACAAAGGAACATGACTAGACCCCAAAACTACTGGTCTTGCTGTCATTATTTACAGATTTCAGAAACCAATGTAGATAGAATGTGCGCAGTGTACTATGCCATCTGTGGAAGCTGGGTGCACTCGAAAGGAATGATGGCCATCTTATCCAAGAGCCCATCAAGTTCACATTGGCCCTGAATTTTCATGCCAACAGATCAGTCCAAAGGGCAAATGGGAATTGTGTGACATCGCCCAATCCTTGACCTACAAATGCATTCGGAATGTTACTGATGCTGTTTTCTCCAGATTACACCGGTTTATATCCTTTCCGCATGTCAAGGAGAGTCAAACAATACCTGGCAGTGGATTCTCAAGTATTGTTGGTCTCCCTTAGATTTAGACTGTCGACTGCATATCGGTTGCTTTCATCAGCTTTTCTTCCTTTTTTTGCTTTCTTTTTGCTTTTGCCTTTTCCCCTTTTCTTTGAAGTTTTTTGGTTTGGCGAGGCATTGATGTCAGGCCGTGCCCAAGCATGTTCTGGGATCCAGTGATCAGAAGCTGCGAGCAGGTACTGCCTGTGCATGTTCCTGGACCCAGTTGTGGCACCCTTAGTTATAGAATCGGAGGTGGTGATGGCAGCAGGAGGAGATCAGAGGTGGTAGCATCAACGGCAGCAAGCACTCAGCTTCTCCTGAGACTCCAAGCTGAACTTGGCCTGGATGCCTGCATGAAGATAAAACCCATCTGGTTCACTAATGTCCTTCAGGAAAGGAAACTGCCATCCTTACCTGGTCTGGCCTACGTGTGACTCCAGACCCACAGCAATGTGGTTGACTCTTTACTGCTCTCTGGGCAATGAGGGATGGGCAATAAATGCTGCCTAGGCAGCAATGCCCTCAAAACTATATACCACCTCAGATATTGCAAGCAATTAACTATGTCTCAAACTGGTTCCTGACCCTGAAAATATCTGAGAAAAGATAAACTAGTTCCAAACTTTCTGGACAAAGATTTGGAGGTCGCTGGTTGGTGGACTGGTGGAGAGGAGAGCAGCTCTGTCATCTGCCGATTGCAAAAGCAAGCCACATTGACAGACTCAGTCAACCTGGACAGAAATGGCAGTGTCCAAATTGCTGTGTCCACATCAAAAGGGATGTCCAGCAATGCTACAAGAATCTCAGTGATCAGCTGCATTTCATAAGGGTGAGTGCCACTTTCGTTTCTGGTATCTCACACTCACAGTGTGAGTGTTAACTCTCACTATCTACCACTGCACCCAGATCTCCCTAAGCTCAGACACAGCTCTTAGTATTGCATATTTCATGTCTGCTACAGGGTCCATGTGCATCTCATAGAACGTAGAACAGTACATCACAGGAATGGGCCCTTTGGCCCACAATGTTGTGCTGAAAATGACACCAAATTAAACTAATCCTTTCTGCCTGCCCTTGATCCATACCCCTCCATTCTTTGCATTTTCTTATGCTTATGTAAAAATCCTTTAAACGCTCCTATCATATCTGCCTCCATCACCACCTCTGCAGTGCGTTCCAGACTCCTACCGTTCTCTGTGTAAAAAAGCTTGCCCCTCACATCTCCTTTGAACTTTCCCCTCTCACCTTAAATGTGTGTTCCCTAGAATCAGACATTTCAATTCTGGGAGAAAGATTCTGACCGGCATCTCATAATTTTATAGACTTCTATCAAATCTCCCCACAGCCTGCGCTGCTCCAGAGAAAACAACCTGAGTTTTTCTATCCTCTGCTTATAGGTCAGACCTTCTAATCCAGGCAACATCCTTTTCTGCACCCCCTCCAAAGCCTCCACATCCTTTCTGTAATGTCGCAACCAGAATTAAATGCAATACTATAAGTGTGGCCTAACCAAAGTATTATAAAACTGCAACATGATATCTTAGCTCTTGTGCTCTATTCCATGACCAATGAAGGCAAGCATGCCATACACCTTCTTTACCACCCTATCTACTTATGTCGCTACTTTCAGGGAGTTATGGACTTGATTCCCAAGTTCCCTCTGTACATCATTCATCTGAAGATCATCCTCCCAAACTACTTATCCTTCTTGCCCTCTGCACTTCCTACTCACCCAATGGGATCATTTCACCACCTTCTAATCATGCATGATCACTAACTGGTCTTGAGTCACTTCCATCATACTCAATCCCTTCCTTTATCTCACTTACAGGAAAAAACAGCCTACCTCCCAGACAGATTCTCAACAGAATCCCAGCTGACCAACTGTAACATCGGACTGCTTGCATGTGATTTTCAGGACTAACTGTGGCTAACCCCTGTAGCGTACTCGGATAAGCCCCCTGACCAACTGCGGCAGTACCCACTGACTGACTGTAGTCACCCCACTAAGGATTGTTTTCATTTGACTTTCACATCATTTGCTTGAAGTACATGCAATATGTTTGCCATGTAAGCCACTGGCAGATGCTACAACTCTGATATTGATGTAACATGGTGCCATTTAGTGATGTGAAACTCCCTGGATTTTACCCCATCTGGTTCATTGATGGAGGAGAGGAGAATTGGAAGTGGGATGTAACTAAGGAAGTTGGAACTGTAGTGAGATGTAAACGCATGGAAATAAGCTGGTCACCACTGAAGGGCTAGATTCTGAAGTTGCCAATCAAGGCTTAAGAGGAAAATTACTAAAGTTTTTCTCATAATTGAGAATATTATTTCATCTTTCCCACCCTGTTTTGTCACCATATGATTAATCTTCTCACACCAGGAAAGGGATGTTTGTTTATTTCATGTAAAATTTCTGCACTTCATGTTTTGTTAAGAAAGCTCTTCAAATGCTAACATTTTAGCCTCTTTTTGTTCTTTAGCACCTTCAATGAAGTCAGTGATGTACTCTTCAGTCTCACAATCAAGACCAGCCACAACTGAAATGTATGTTGTTTTAATTATGATGCATCTTTCTGAAAAGAGGGCATTGTCCTGTGAAGGGAAACCATACTAAACAATGCTGGAATTAAACGTAAAGCTTGTGTTTTGAAATTACTTCTGAGCAGACTTTCACATTAACTTCAGCACCAATTGCAATTTTCAAGTGCTTTATAACAGGAAAATGTGTAAATATTTTATGATGTTGTTTAACAATCCTTTTAAACAATAATTTCCAAAAAGGTCACAGAAAATGGAGATTGATGCAAGACCGAGTCCATCCGGAAAGGTAAGTGTACATAACTTAACATCAGGAAAAACATAGGACATTTGGTGCATTGCTATTTATGGCATAAATATAGCCTTATGGTTAGCAGCCTGATTGATTGACTTTATTTTATAACTTTTAACAAAGCATTTCTGTGCTGCAAAAGTGTAATGGATAGTGTGGATTTGTTAAATATGTCTATTAAGTACAAATACCTAACACGTGGTCTGGAATTCTTCACTATTTTAGCAGAAGTATTAACGTATTAATGTTCAAAGGGTCAATGACTCTGCTAAGATAGCGGAAGAAGTAATTTTAGACAAGTTATAACCTCATCTGTAATAATGTGGGCTATATGCTTTCCTTCACCTTTCTTTTGCCTATATTTGTTTTGCCATTCTTCTGTTTTTCCATGAATATGTGATCCCAGATCTCATGATGGGCCCAAATTCCAGTTATTGCCATTGGGAGCAATTTGCTTGTCAGGTGCAAGTATAATATTGTTTTAACAAAGAATGGTCTATTATTGACCTTTGTTTCCTTTACTTTTGATCTTTTTGCCAAGATACAATCTGAAGCATCAATAGGTCCAGCCAGACTATCATTAATAAGTCCACCCCAAGATGGCCGGATGGGTGAGTGCCACAGATTATTTCCTTCTGCAGATTGAAGTTGAGTGTTGATTTCAGCTAATAGTAGCAGTATACAAGATGAATGTAAAAAAACGATAGAATACACAGAATAATAGAATTGTTACAGTCTGTCTACAGCTGTTGTCCGAATGAATATTTCATTTAGTGCCATTCTTCTGGTATCTGCCGATAAGCCTCCAGATTCATCCTTTACAGATAGTTTTTTAATTCCCCTTTCAATGTGTCAATTGAACCTCCACCATAGACCCAGGCAGTGGCTTCCAGATTTTAACCACTTGCTGCCTGAGAAAGGTATCGCTCATATCCTTTTTGCTTTTTCTATCAATTACCTTAAACTTGTGCCCTGTTGTTTTCAACTAGAAACATAGAAGATAGGAGCAGGAGGAGGCCATTCAGCCCTTCAAACCTGCTGCACCATTCCACAATCATGGCTGATTGTCCAACTCAGTAGCCTAATCCTGCTGTCTCTCCATAACCATTGATCCCATTCGCCCCCAACTGTTATATCTAGCTTCCTGTTGAATACATTCAGTGTTGGCATCAACTACTTCCAGTAGTTATGATCACTATTTGGGTGAAGAAATGTCCCAACATCTACATCCTAAATAGTTTACCCCAGATTCTTAGACTGTGACCCCTGGTTCTGGATGCACCCACCATCAGGAATATCAGCCCTACACCTACCCTGTCTAATCCTATTAGAATTTTATAAATCTCTATGAGATCCCCCCTCATTCAACTGAACTGCAGTGAAAACAATCTTAACTTAGTCAATCTCTCCTCATACATCAGTCCCGCCATCCTCAGAATCAGCCTGGTAAACCTTTGCTGCTCTCCGTTGAGAGCAAGAGCATCCTTCCTCAGAAAAGGAGACCAAACCTGCACACAATATTCTATGTGTGGTCTCACCAAGGCCCTGTATAACTACAACAACACATCTATCACGTTATAGGAGAACTACCTGTATACAATGCCTTGGTGAGGCCATACCTAGAACCGCTCTAGCAAATACTCCCCTGAGGACATCAGCCTAGTCCTGCCCAGATGTAACTTGTCCAATTTGTACAGGTCCCACCTCCCCCAGAACCGGTCACAATGTCCCAGGAATCTGAAACCCTCCCTCAATGCCATTTGTTCTGCCACATATTCATCTGTTATATCCTATAATTTCTACTCTGAATAGTATGTGGCACCGGGTGTAATCCTGGCATCACTACCTTTGACGTCTGATTTCTTAACTTTCCTCCTGGCTCCTTGTGTTCTGCTTTTAGGACCTCATCCCTTTCTCTACATATATCCCTTGTACTGATGTGTACCACAACATTGGTTATTCATCCTCACCTTCCAGAATAACCTGTACCTGCTCCGAGACATCCTTGACCTAGCACCAGGGAGGGAACATACCATCCTGGAGTCTCATTTACGGCCACAGAAATGCCTGTCTATTCCCCTTACAATTGAATCCCCTATAACTATTGGAGACAAGAAGACTGCAGATGTTGGAATACAAGGTAGACAAACAGGAGGCTGGAAGCACACAGCAGGCCAGGCAGCATCTGGAGGAAAGGAGTAAGTAATACCCGAAATGTTGACTGCTTCTTTCCTCTAGATGCTGCCTGGCCTACTGTGTTTTTCCAGCCTCCTGTTTGTCTACCCCTACAACTATTACCCTGGCACACTTTTTACCCTTCCTGTCTGCAGCAGAACCGACTGTGGTGCAATGGGTTTGGCTGCCGCTGCTGTTTTCCCCTGAGAGGTCATTCCCCTCAACAGCATCCAAAACGGTGCAACTGTTTACCAGGGGAATGGCCACAGGAGATTCCTGCACTACCTGCCTATCTCTCTTGCTCTGTCTGGTGGTCACCCATTCCCTTCCTGCCTGCAGAGTCTAAGTCTGGCCACCTCTCTATATACGTGCTGTCCAAATACTCTCTGCCACACAGATGCTCTACAGTGTCCCCATCCACCACTCCAGCTCTGAAACTCGAGCTCTGAAGTTCTCAATCCTTTCACCAGTGGAAAAGATTTTCCTGATCTAGCATGTGCAGAACCCTCATGATTTTGAATCAATCTCGTTTCAGCCTTCTCTAGGGAAAACAGTCCAAACTTTTCCAGTCTATCTTTATAACTAAAATTCCTAACCCCTGGAAACATTCTTGGAATCTTTCTAGATGCATAGAGTCATAGAGCTGTATAACATGGAGTTAGACCCTTTGGTCCAACTCGTCCATGCCAACCAGATATCCTAAGTTAATGTAGTCCCATTTCCCAGCATTTGGCCCATATACCCCTAAACCCATCCTTTTCATATACCCATCCAGATGCATTTCAAATGTAATTATACCAACCTCCACCACTTCCTCTGCCAACTCATTCCATACACACACCACCCTCTGCATGAAAAAGTTGTCCCTTAGGTCCCTTTTAAATCTTTCCCCTCTCACGTTAAACTTATGCCCTCTAGTTTTGGACTCTCCCACCCCAGGGAAAAGACCTTGGCTATTCATCCTATCCATGCTCGTCATGATTTTATAAGCCTCTATAAGATCACCCCTCAGCTTTTGACACTCGAGAGAAAATAGCCCCAGCTTGTTCAGCCTCTCCCTACAGCTCAGACCCTCGAACTCTGGCAGTATCCTTGTAAATCTTTCCTGAACCGTTTCAAGTTTTGCAACATCCTTCCTAAAGCAGGGAGACCAGAATTGCATGCAGTCTTCCAAAAGTGGAGTAACCAATGTCCTGTATAGCTACAACATGACTTCCCAACTCCTATACTCAGTGCAGTGTACAATAAAGACAAGCATACCAAATACCTTCTTTACTATCCTATCTACCTGCAACTCCACTTTCAAGGAACTATAACCTGCACTCCAAAGTCTCTTTGTTCAGCAACACACCCCAGGACCTTACCATTAAGTGTGTAAGTCCTGCCCTTACTTGCCTTTCCAAAATGCAACACCTCACTTTTTTTTAATTCATTCATGGGATGAGGGTGTTGCTGGCTAGGCAGCATTTATTGCCCATCCCTAATTGCCCAGAGGGCACTTGAGAGTCAACCACATTGCTGTGGGTCTGGAGTCACATGTAGGCTAGACCAGGTAAGGATGGCAGTTTCCTTCCCTAAAGGACATTAGTGAACCAGATGGGTTTTTCCAACAATCAACAATGGATTAGCGCTCATCGTTAGACTCTTAATTCCAGATATTTATTGGATTCAAATTCCACCATTTGCCATGGCGGGATTCAAACCTGGGTCCCCAGAACGTTATCTAGGTCTCTGGATTAACGGTTATCTAAATTAAACTCCATCTTCCACTCCTCAGCCCATTGGCCTATCTAATCAAGGTTCCATTGTACTCTGAGGTAACCTTCTTTGCTGTCCACTACACTCAGATCATAGAAAAGCTTTAGCATGGAAGGAGACAACTCAGCGCATCGGGTCTGCACAAGCTGAGTAAACTAGCTGTTCACTGTAAGCCTATTTCCCAGAATCTGGTCCGCAGCCTTGCGGATTACAGAGCTTCAGGTGCAGTTTCAGGTTCCTTTGAAATGAGTTTAAAGATTCCTGCCTTAATCACCAAACTGAGTAGCAAATCCCACTGCTCAGTAAAAGAATCTTTGTTTCCTGTCACTGAGCCAATTTGGTTCCACCTCACCACATTTCATTTTTTTAATCATTTGTGGGATGAGGGTTTCCGTGGTTGGCCCAACACTTACTGCCCATTCCAAATTTCCCTTGAGAAGGTGTTGAGGATTGTCTTCTTGAATTGTTGAAATTTATTTGGTGTAAGTAAACCCACAATGTAGTTAGGGAGGGCATTCCAGGATCTTGATCCAGTGACACTGAAGGAGTGGTGATATATTTCCAAAATCAGGATGGTGAGTGGCTTGGAGTGGAAGTTACAGTCCTTCTAGATGACCGTCTAAGGAGCCTTGGTGAATTTCTACAGTGCATCTTCTATATGGTAGACACTACTGATTCTGTACTTTGGTGGTGGAGGGAGTGAATGTTTGAGAATTTTTTAAGTTCATTCATGGGATGAGGCAGCAATTATTGCCCATCCATTATTGCCCAGAGGGCAGTTAAGAGTTAACCACATTGCTGTGGATCTGGAGTCACAGGTAAGCCAGACTAGGTAAGAATAGCAGTTTCATCCCTCAAGGGCGTTAGTGAACCAAATGGGTTTTTCCAACAATCGACAATAGTTTCATGGTCGTCATTAGACTCTTAATTCTAGATTTTTATTGATTTGATTTGATTTATTGTTGTCAGATGTACCGAGGTACAGTGAAAAGTATTGTTTTGTGTGCTATACGGACAGATCATACCTTACATAAGTTCATTCGAGTAATAGAACAGAATACAAAGTATTGCGTTACAGCTACAGAGAAGGTGCAGAGAAACATTAACTCAAGTATATGAGAGGTCCTTTTATAAGTCTGAAAACTGCAGGGATGAAGCTGTTCTTGAATCTGTTGGTACATGTTTTCAAACTTTTGTATCTTCTGCCAAATGGAAGAGAGAATAACCAGGTTCCACAGTCTACCGTAGTGGGATTTGAAATTAAGTCCCCAGAACATTGCCTAGGTCTCTAGATTAACAGTCCGGTGATAATACCACTAGGTCATTGACTCTCCATCTGGTGCCAGTCAAGCGGGTTGCGTGTCCTGGATGCTGTCAAGTTTTTGAATATTACTAGGCTGCAGTCACCCAGACAAGTGGGAAGTATTCCCTCACACTCCTGACTTCTGTCTTGTGGACGATGGACAAGCTTTGAGGAGTCAACCTAATGGTCTTAATTTTTCTTAGCAGTTGTCAAGTCAAATACCTATTAAATTCCATGTAGACAACATGCACTACATTACATGTGAACATATGAACAAGGACCAAGAGTACAGCACTCACAACAACACTCGGCTCTTTGAGCCTGCCCTGCCATTCAATAAGATGATGGCTGATCTGATTTTAACCTCAATTACTC